CTTTACCAGTACTAGATGTCATCAAGTACATAAACATATTTACTCTTTTAATGTTATAATCATTCCGAATATATGATTACAAATTGTGTGTTAATTTTTCAGGTTTTATGTTTCCTCGTCATTTATAGATCCGACCGATAATTTCAAAACATATATTTCATAATATATTCCCTGAAGCTTGAAGCATGTATCACCTATCAGAGCTGGTCTTCTTCCGATATATCAAATGTATGGTTTCGAGGGAGATTAAGTTAAATCGGTATTCCCCGAATGAGCTGGATCATATTTTGAAAAAGAAATTACTCTCGTACCCTTTAGCTACTAATACCGAATAAATCCTTGTACCTTGTAATCGGTAAATATGTGATGTGATGCATAGTATTAACTCTCACTCACTCAAGAGTGAGTGAGTGAGTGAGTTTAGTTTTACGCCGCACTCAGCAATATTCCAGCTATATGGCGGCGGTCTGTAATTAATCGAGTCTGGACCAGACAATACAGTGATCAGCAGCATGAGCATCGATCTGCGCAGTTGGGAACCGATGACGTGTGTCAACCAAGCCAGCGAGCTTGACCACCCGATCCCGTTAGTCGCCTCTTACGACAGTTTCTATTCTCGAAAGGGTTTGGTTTTGTATGGAACGATCAGTATGTTGATTCTGAGGGTAAGTTTTTTTTAGAACTAACACAAAGATTAAAAGATATCTATTTGCAAGAATGGTTTGAAAAGATATCACTTTCCAGTAAATGTCTGTATTATAAGATGTTTTAATGTACTTTTGACTCCGAAACTTATCTTTCATGTCTAAACGTAAAAATATAGGATAGCGTTAAGCAGATTGAGATGTTCTTCACATGATTTATCTATCGAAAGTGGAAGATTTAAAAATGTCAAAAAAGAAAATAGAACTTGCAAACTATGTGTTCTTAACCAAATAGAAGATGAATATCAATTTCTTTTAATTTGCCCTGCTTATAATTCCATCAGAAAGTTGTATATTAAGAAATATTATTGTGCCCATCCAAACCTTTATAAATTCTCAGCATTGTTGAATAACAAAACCCATACTATACTTCAAAACTTGTCCATGTTTGTTTACTATGCCATGTTGTTTAGGACAGAATATATCTCAGAACACAATGTAACCTAAAGTTGATTATTTTCCCTTCTTCATGTATATTATCCGTGCGTGTAAATATTGATTTATAAATACATTGTACTACAGGCCTGTGGCCTTTCAGTACCGGAAATAAATATATTGGACAAGCATGGGTTACTGAAGGTTCATTCTAACCCGGACCTTCACGGGTCCACTCACTGAAGAACGAACGAAAGAACGAACGAAACAAGACTAAGTTCCAGAACCTGGGTTTCTTCTACATCTTTCATTTCCAGGTTACATTTGATAGAACGGGAAGACAGCTTGTTTCTAAAGAGTAGGTATCATCTGATTTCAGTGCCAGTGAAATAAGACAGAACACATTTTCAAAACAAGTTTTAAAATTGTGTTTCTTGTTTTTCCATAAGCATCGTTTTTACACTTTACATCGTTCCTTACAAAATAAGCTGATTCCATGCATTGATCAATATCTTGAGAACGATCAATTCGTGCTTTGTGTTGTTGTGAGCTACTTTTTCTTTCATGACTTTGAGGCGATTGAATAGTCTGGTGGTTAAAACGTTCACTCGTCACGCCGAAAGCTCTGGTTCGATTCCTCACTTAGGTACAATGTTTATCTTTCGTGTCCCGTAAGAAAGCTGCGTAAACCCACACTCACTCGCTTTTCAATGATAACTTCGTTAGGTTTGAATGGAATGCAACGTGAGTGAGTGGGTTTTGTTTTACGCCGCTTTTAGCAATATTCCAGCAATATCACGTCGGGGGACACCAGAAATGGGCTTCACACATTGTACCCATGTGGGGAATCGAACCCGGGCCTTCGGCGTGACGAGCGAACTCTTTAAACTACTGGGCTACCCCGCCGCCCCTGAAAGCAACATGAAGAAGAATAACATCAAAAGTACAATAAATTATATGCATGTCGTTATTTGAAGCAAATTCGTACTTTTACTTCAGAATGATAGGCTATATGTGTTGTTGACTAGAGAACCTTGAATATCCTTAAGTTTCAACGCATTGTGCTTTTTGTGAAACCACACAGTGGATAGAAAACAGTGCCTCAGAAATAGACTCAACTTTGGACCAAACAAACCAGTGATCCACACTACTGGATTACGATGACCCTCAATCTGACCCTAAATGCACCAAGCCACCGGTCTGCCCACACGACCCACAAGGGATATATAGGGGGTTGGGGGTCGATGATGATTTTTATGAAGAAGCATGTACAATGCGAATGCCCCCTCCTCCTAGAATTTATATACAACATAAGTGACCCCTACCCCCCGCATTTCATGTACAAAATTGATGCACACAAACCCCCACCCCCCGACTTCATTATTTACAGACAGCCGTCATATAGCTGAGTGCGGCGTAATCAACAGACCAACCAACCAACTATACAATGTAAAGCAATATACGATGAACAACCCAAGAAGCAGTTCACTTTATAACCTTAAAACATGTAGTAAAAGATCGAAGCAAGTACAGTACTTCTGATAATACCCTAGACAAGTGTACAGGTAATCCTTGCAACAGGTCTAATCCACAGGTTGCCCTCGAATATTCTGGGGGAAATCCCCGTGAGTGGAGGAATCTGTTGACATTACAGGGTATATTGTACATCAAGTACCGACAAGATGGCGTCAGAGGATGTTTCTAAAACTGGTTACACCAACTTTGTTTGACGAGCAGGTGCGCATGGGACCGCTGTAGAAAATGAAGACTAGGTCCTCAAAGAAATCAGACTTAGATTTGAGTGTCGAATATCTTATTCATTGTATCTACTGCCTGGAGTACTCATGTGACTCTTCTGTAGCAGACAGCCACGACAGCTAGGAGCATCTCTGTCAAGTATGTTTGTCTATTGAGAGATGGGGTCGCTCAGATGGGTTGTCTTCAACACCTACACAAGTTCAAAAAGGTCTTCCATGGTCACGAATGGAACGTTCAAATTCGGAACGCCCTTCGTGTTTCTACGATAAAACTTCTTGAAAAATGTATTAAGGCATTAAATCATGACCAGTGGTTCGAGGGTCGGTGCAGAATTTCTGCCCGAAGTATTGACCTACTGACCATGTCAGTATAGTGTACAACAGCCGTACAATTTCCAATTAACTCAGGTGTTTTGATGAGTGAGTGAGAGAGGAAGTTTAGTTTTAAGCCGCTTTTAACAATATTCCAGCTACATCACGGGAATAGAGCCGCGTCTTTGGCGTGACGAGCGAACACTTAAACCTCGAGCGAACACTTAAACCTCGAGCGAACACTTAAACCTCGAGCGAACAGTTAAACCACTAGGTTACCCCACCACCCCTGGAGGTATGATGAGAGAGTGAGTGAGTTTAGTTTTACGCCGCTTTAGCAATATTCCAATCATATCATGGCGTCGGACACCAGGAATTATTTTATCTCTCGATGACAGGTTATAAACTTTTATACAGCTGTATATATGGCTGAATATTGACGACGTAACTCAAATTGTAACTCATTCACTCAACCAAAGCTGACACATTTAACAACCAAAGATAATTTTTATGCTAGCAATTTATCAGAGTAACATAAATGGAGTTGGATCCTTTTTTCGATCAAAATAACATTATCCGACTGTGTCTTATACAGCACAGCCACCTTCCACAAATTGGCTTTCCAATATTGCAAGACGTCTTGTGTTAAAAAAAATGCGAACTATCGATTTTAAACGTAATCTTCTAAATGACAAGACACAGACCCATGTGTAACATGTTGTGAGGCAGCTCTTCCTTTTTTTCCCGTATGACAGGAAACTTGTCAACAAATATAACTGTATACTTATTTCAAGAAAAGATAACTCTTCCCTAAAACCCGGAAGCTGTAGATAGTTATTCATGTAATATCCGAACAAAACCACAAAAATGTCACATGTTAAACCTTGCTCGCTTTCTAAATGGCATTGTGTATTCAAAACCAAAACGCACTTAACACTATGCAAAGAAATTGTAAATGCATTATACGAAGATAATGTGATTTGATATCCATGCTTCAGTTCAGAGAGTTTCTCCGAGAAGTAATGTGTCGAGATACTGCTATTTTCTTCTGCATTAACGGTCATGAGTTTTGAAAGTTTACAGTAAATGTCATTTGAATGAGACGGAATTCTCCTGGAAATCCCGTCTTTCGGATAATTACTGCTTACATACTGAACAAAAAATACCACCGTCCTTCCAGTTGTCACTCCGGAAACATGTTAATCCTATTATGAGTGCCGGAGAGCGGAAGGTCGCGGGTTCGATCCCCGACCGCGTCATACCAAAAGACGTTAAAATATGGTACTTGTTGGTCCCTGCCTGACGCTCGGCATTAATGGGTACAACAAGGACTGGTCGGCTCGGAGTCAGTATAATGTGTCTGAGTGGGGTATTCATGTTTCACTGTGGCATGGTATCTCAGTGAGCTAGCACTATAAAACCAGCTTCAGTCTGGGCTAGTACAAGCAGCCGCACATACACATACACACGCATGCACGTCGTCATATGAGTGAAATACTCTCAAGCACGACGTTAAACCCAATTTCACCTCACCTTACCTATTATGAATGAGTGAGTGTCCTTTAGGCCTTTTTTTCAATATTCCAGCAATATCACAGTATGGGACATCAATAATGGACTCCACACATTGTACCGATGTGTGAAATCAAACCCATTTCTTCTGAGTGACGATGGAACGCTTTAACCACTGGGCTACCCCACTACCCAAATCCAAAACTGACCGTACGAAGAACGTACGTCATTAGAACTGTGCGATAGAGTCAGGATCCTGTTAAATGTATCCTATATTCGTCTTTGAAAGTAACCACGTCAGTCCAATAAACGGATGTGATTATATATGTCAGATACTCACCAAACCGCTTACTTCTTTGCGCTGAGCTCGGCGATAATAAGGCTGCAAAGAACAACAGTACTTTAAATCATGAAATTATAGCGTCATGAATTTAATACGAGTGCGAGGGTCTAGTCTAAAATGCGTCACGAAATTAATGCGAGCTCAGGAATCGTAATTGTCACAACAATACAAAACAGTTGATCGCATCTCAGCAATATTCCAGCAATATCACGGCGGGAAACCAGAAATAGGCTTCACACATTTTATTCATGTGGGGAATCGAACCCGGGTCTCCGGCGAACGCTCTAACCACTAGGTCACCGCCCCTAGACGTATTGGCCATTAGTGGGCAGTCTATTGGCAACGGCATTGATATGAATAACCACTCTCACCAGTTTTCTACCACCGTCCCTGTTTGTCTAGAAACCTTATCGAAAAGATGCTAACGTATTCATAAAAGATCTTAGAACCATATACAACGTGAGTTGTTGAGGTTCGGAAGAGAGTTTCACACAATCACGTACTGTAGACTTCGTGTCTGTGACAGCTAATATGATCGTTACTTTAAAGGTAGATTATCGATAAATTCCGCGAGTAAAGTCAAGACAAAACGAAAGTGCATGTGTGTCTTTGTGTGTCTTATTCCAGAGGAGCTGTGACGGGATCCCAAGACCATATCATATCAATCCAACTCCTCCGTCCGCCACCACACACACACACACACACACACACACACCACCCCGGGCCTTAGACAACTGGTCTATCCTTCATCCTAAATCAATGGAGCATTTTCATATGAGTGATATTTGTTATGTAAGTATGTTTAAAAAGAGTGCGCATATCAGTTGTAAATAGCATTAGGAAATGAACTCGTGCAACGCTCATTTTTAAGACATCAACTTTTCCAAACCTGACAGTAAACAAAAGGATAAATATCCAGTATTTTCTGGAGCAAATTCTCAAAATGATCCATCCGTTTCCAAAAATGTAAATACTCACCGTGACTATATATATATGGTGATGAATGTCCCCTCTCCCCAAGGCGAAACAATATCCGCATTAGCTGCATCTGTTTATCAAGTTGTGGGTTGCCCTGACTTTCCGGAAGCGGAAGTGCTAAACACGTGAGAGGAAGTGCACACAGACACAGGCACACCAGCACTCGCTGGACGGAAGGGGCGGTCCCCCAGTCGCGGGGCATTCTGGGGTAGCTGCAATCAATCAAACGGACACTAATCAATCAAACAATCTCTACCACCTACGTGAACGCCATATACAATCTACACCCTACATACAATGGTAATGATCTTCAAGTACATAGGGCTTGTGAACTGCATGCGTAATGAATACTGAAGGATCTTGAGGATTATTGATTCATAAGCTAGTGCACTATGTGGGGAAGTTTAATCCCTCTGAGAACCAGAAATTGGTGACGCTAGCTTTCTACCTATCTGTGTTAATAACACTCAACCGACCACTTAGGTATAACCAACAAGAACTGATAATGTGTATGTAAATTTGTCTATCTGTTCACACAACGTACGCACATATTTGTCAGATTTTAAATACGTTTACAACATCCTTCAAATCTATCTTTGGCAAAAGGTTTCACCTACATTTCATTTAGTAAGCAAGAAGAATGTCAATGCGTGAAGCTATTTTCGTATGAACTAGTTTCACAATGGCGATGCTGTCGGATCCCCACCTCTCCCCTTTGACGTTGTAGTAGGGACACTAATGAAAACTTTCACGACTTATTGGTTCAATTAGAATCCCTGTGAGGGTTTACGACAAATACTACGTATACAAGGTCACTCAAGTTCACCAAAGATCGTATTGGCTAGTATCCTACAATGTATGCCTGTTATATATGTATCCCCTATTATTTCGTATGTAGTGCCATCTATGTTTCATTTTGTGTCTTTAAACTATTAATATTTCACATGCGACGGAAAGAGCTGTCATGGGGCAAATCAATAGATGCACGGAGTTCATCACCGTGGGTTTCAGCAAGGTTTCATCATGCAGTTGAATAAACATTTTCAAGGTTAAAATTGACTTCTGACAAACGCCAATAATTGAAAGTAATTATGAAAATAAAATGTGTGCCTTTAATCATTGATAAGCCCAGCTTAACGTGGATCTTATTTGTATGGATAATATTAGCATTTGTATGGATAATATTATTTTAATACCAACAAAAGCATTTTCATGGACCATTCGGCCATAAAAATGAAGCAAGTCAAACTTATACTGAATTGGAATGTTTGTCATTAATTGGCAACCGGATGTGTTTTTAATCAATAGAACTATCATTAATAAGAAGAAGGAAGGAATATCACTGAACAGTGTTCACAACTAAACCGAAATTTTTCCTGTTGCTCTAAAGAAAAAGAAACAAACTTTGCTGTTTTCAAATCATTTCTCAAGGTTTCAGAAAATTGATGTTTGGTTGTACTGATGCATTTGTTCGATGAATTGACCTTAAAATACTCGAAAGATTGTAACGTTCAAAACTGGATTTATATAGAACATTAAATTAAATTTAACATATTATTCACAAGGTAGATATAGTGTTGACCATTAAAATATACAATCACAAGTTTCAAAGACAATTTTCCTACAATAACCAAAGATTCCTTTTTTTTTATTACAGAAGGAATCTAGAGGATCCCGAGTTGCGACTCTTTGAACAGACTGCCAGTAATATATAACAATACGGGCGGGATATTTTAATAACGCTTTAAATTAGCTGATTTAAGGTTAAGTCAAAATGAGTTAAATTTTGTGCCATGCTACATATAAAGACACTTTCATTCATTTACAAAAACCATGAAAAAAACATTCATCTTGATCAAAAGTAAATATTATTGCCCACGTCCAAATTGTTTCGCCCATGAGCGAGATATTTTAAATACGCTTTAAATTAGCCGAATTAAGTGAAAATGAGTTAAATTTTGCGTTATGATACTTATAAAGGTATTTTCATTCATAAACAGCCTATGGACGAGGTAGTTTAAATTTTGAGTTTTCGAAAAAAATAATTCATATTTTTCATCCTTAGCATATATTCATGATTACTGCATGTTGAATGTTTTCAAATCCTATATAAGAAACTGGACACAGTGCTGAGAGTTTTTGGACTTTTGGCTTTCCAGAATTAAATTGTGACGTGTCATATATACTACCCATCAAAGGTATGGACACACTAGTGTAAATGTAGCCACTTACTTCAGTCAACTGTTCCAAACTAGATTTTGCCAAATATTCCACACTGTTTAAGGGTACTCTTTACACATGAACTGATGTATTGTAAAACAAATTCGTAACGTTGGAAAGATTGTCATGAGTTCAATAAATGATAAAAATCAGTGAAAATTGTCGAATTCTTAACAAAACTTTACACCAAAACGCAACTGTTCACATGCACGATATTTGCACATGCTTTTCAGCAATTTGATGCATGATCCTCGTCAATTCATCTGCATAACGTTTGCAGTTGGTTCCCCCAAGTTAGTGTAGAAATTCATCTTCGATGTAACCATATACATAAACATAACATATAGTGAGTGCTTTAAGTGAGTCTAAACTTTTAATGGGAAGTATATATAATTGTTTACTGGCTGGAAAAGTCGACGTGATGCTGGTCCTAGGCATGTAATATTACACCCAACCCGTGAACATGTGTCCGATGCCGGAATAATTAAATAATCACCGTCTAATTTAGGATTAGAAGTCAGGCCAGCGAATCCTGACACAAGAAAAGGCAATAACTCTCCACATCAACCTGCAACAACTATGCCCAATACTCTGCACCTGATAGGCTTCGTTGTACGGATGTATACCTGCTCATTTCGAAAGACCTGTATGTCGGTATCCATTGTTTCATCACACGGCCAATGAGTTTGTCACTGAGCATGATACCAATTAAGCGGAAAATGAACAGACACATTTATCTCGTATCCCCGCCCAAATCGATGACAGTGCTAGTGGCTGATGAGTCGTTATGTTCTATTTTCAAACTGACAAGGCAGACTGAAGACTGAAAGTTATATTGTCTGGAGGACCTGAAAAAAAACCAGGCGACCTTGGCGAAGGTGAAAAAACATATTCCAAACTTTTCGTACAAACCTTTTAAGGTGAGATTTATAACTATACAAATCTGAAGAGAAAAAAGTTACTTGTATAATGTGTCATTTGATTCACCATGTTGGTGTGGCATAAATATAAGCAAATGTCAATTAAAAGACTTGGAATCACTTACATTACTTTTAATTTATTATTCACAGACTATCATAAGACTGAATTGCTGAATTAAACAGCACGCACAAATACTCCTACCACATATGATACAAATTCGATAATCGATTTTGGTTCCTATATTAGTATGACTCCTTGAAAACCAAAATCAATCGGATTTTTTAGACAGAAACAAATATTACAGGATATGATTTTTTTAAAAATGGCTGTTTCATTTGTGTTATATGTCCTGTGTTAAATGTCTAGAACTTTTTTCCTCGCTTATAATTAAATTGAAATCTTAACTTCTTCGCAGTCAACCGTTTTGCAGGATTTCCCTATACTATATCACACTAGGACAAGACAATACATTACAGATTACCACGGGATGGGTCTGTCATTTTAAAAGGATGTTTTCTGTCAACATGGCCCCTGATAATCATTGTGAAAGCCCACAGAAACGGTAGACTTCAGCAGCAAGCATTTCACAGCACTGAAGTGGCTAGACACATTCTGGATGTTCTACTGACATGTTCAGACTGTAAACACTTCTCTGGAGACCGTAAATCTTCTACTTCTGTGCCTACACGAGCGGCTTGGGGAAACGTGACTGATATTGGTCTATAGTCGAAGGCAAACGTTATTATGACATACACAAAACAAAGAGCATCTTCCTGACCATACCCATGTCACTCTGAAAGAATAAAGGCATAGTAATGTACAGCAATCCACACGAAGAGCAATCCTGAAATGAGCCTTTTGTTGAAACTATTTGTCCCTCCCTGATACTCGATATTAACGTCTTTGAGAAGTTGGAACATACAATGTTGACAAACCTGAAGGAACTTCTTCCATTTCGTGAGTGCGACGTTCTGATCCAGATTTTTGTACCGTAGTCAGGAAATCATTCTTCCTTAACAATGGTACAAGAATCTGCATCGAATACAATTTGTCAATATTATGTTCGATATTTCTGATCCATGACTCGATTCATGGTTTGTAACTAAATATAAAATTCTATGTCACATTAATCTTTGTCATAAGTATATTATTTAAACTAAATCACCGGTGGTGGTGTGTGGTCATGTGCGTAGAGCTCAGGTCACAATCAGTTGAAGTTAAGCAACGTTGGTCGCGGACAGTCCTCGGATGGGTGACCGTGTTTGGCAGCTTGACACCTGAGAGTTTCTAGGACTTCAGTCCTGCACCACAACGAAGCACATGTGACGCATGTGGTCTCACCTTAGTCAACTGAGTTAGTTAAATATTGCCTCTGTCCACCCAGCAGTAAACCTGGGTACCTGGTATGATACCATGGTAGTCGGAATTTGAACCTTGAGCACCTGACAGGCGACCGGTTGTATTCTCCACAAGGAGTGTTCTGTACTCGTTGACCAGGGGTGTTATGTCAGCGCAATGTCCAATATAAATGGACTATTATCATTATTATTATTAAAACATTCCAGCAGGGGCGAGGCAAGGCTGTATAATAAGCCCACCTCTTATTAACCCTCAACATTTGAGTTCTCAAATACTATATCTTGTTTAGGATAACAAAGCCATTTCCTTATATATTGAAATCAAATAACCCAGCTGTGGCGAGGCAAGGCTGTATCATAAGCCAACCTCTTATTAACCCCCAACATTTGAGTTCTCAAATACTATATCTTGTTTAGGAAAACAAAGCCATTTCCTTATATATTGAAATCAAATAACCCAACTTCACTATTAAGGAAGCCGAACTGAAACTTGATGCACCTTTCATCATGCATCAAGTGAACGTTTAAGAGTCAGGAATCGATTAAAACTTGAAATGCACTTCAAACGAAGCAAGTATCACAATATGTTTCACTTTGACGATATTGGATTATACATGTGCCACAGGTTGATCTAAGGAACGAAATATATATCTTTTTCGCCATTGGTTTGGACATCTTAAGACGATGACACCTTCATTCATAATCCCACGAAA